GTTCAATAAAGATTCCAACTTTAATACTTGTGAATCCTTGAAAAATTATATCTTCCAATATGAAGATAAACAATTTTTCTATCACAAAGTTTCAAACTTTATGATTCCAATCAACTAAAAAATAATTAAAACAACAAAGTTTAAAAATAATTCATGGAATTTAGTAATATAAAGTTTCAATCACTTAACATAATTAAAGATTGAATCTTTAATACTTGGAAGCCTCAAAGAACAACAATTTCACACTTAATGCAATTAGTTTGCAAATATGTGAAAGAATAAAACCAAGCATTCAAGCACAAATTACTACCAAGTAATCATGCCTAAAGAGGTTTAAAATTGCATATAAAATATGTATTGAACCAATTACATAGCCACCATAAATATGCAATTAATTTTCAAGGTTAGAAAGACTTAAAATTTTTCGTAAAAACAAAAAACCCTCGAAAATAGAAAATCTGGTCGTTTTTTGGCTAAAAACCGAATTCTAAAAGGGAAAAAACCATTTCCAAAACTCGTTTTCTACCAAAAATTCACTATTTTTGGGTCGAAATCTGGATTCGGGGCTGAAGGTAGCTTAAATACGAGGTTAAAAAAGATAAAATACGAGCTACTAATCTAATTAGCATTTTAAACCAGAAAAATTAAGCCATAAAAATCACCTTGAAAAATATTATGATTTTAAAAATAAACGAGCGTGGCTCTGATACCGCTGTTGGGGTTTGGTAAGTCCAACTTACTGCGGAAACGACCCTGACCCAAAGAAGCACTCGCAATTAATAAAACCATAAAGCATAACAAATAAACATAAAAGGATAAAATCGGAATTTACCTTTGACGCGTGCTTCGCTTGACCTAATGGGCTCTTACTTGAAAGCTTTAGCTCCGAAAATACCGAGCCTCCAACGGTATCCACTCACAAAGGACGAACACCGAATTTTTAGGTCTGTTACCTTGGAGTTAGCAAGGTCCGACCAAAACCCAAGTGTTAATGGAGTCTAAGACTTTTTGCCAATATGCAATGCTCTTTATAACTCCCACTCAAGCAAAGAATTCTCAAGCCATGCTTTGGCTATTTATAAGGAATGATAGCTTATGAATTCCACTCATCTTTCAATGTGGGACTTTTTCACAAAAAGATCACACATGGAAAGATTGATGAATTCAACCCTTAGTTAAATAAACCAAGGAACAAGTAACAAGTGTCACATGGTTAGGTGAGGACCACTTTCCCACTTGGTCCCCAAGCAATTTCACATGCAATGTGAACTAACCATGTGTCACCCAACCTTGAGTCCCAAGTTGGGTTCGGTTGGGCCATTTTATTTTGGCCTGTGTCCATGACCCGTCACCCAGGTCCACGGCCTCTTGCCACATGTGCCGCCACCATGGCGCGCTGCCACGTGGCACACTGCCAACGTGTCGCGCTGCCACGTCGCACACTGCCACTTGGCGGCTGGCACTAGGTGGTTGCCAATGTGGCTTCCACGTGTGTTGCCACATGGCGTTTTTCCATGTGTGCTGCCACGTGGCACGCACTTATTGGGCGCGCTTTCCTAGCCTTTTGCGTGGCTAGGATTTTACTTGTTACTTGAAGCATTTTTGCGTCTCGCCAAATCCTAAATTTTGGCTCGACATTTGAGATTCTCCGACGCTCGATTTCGACGCTTCAAGCTCGAATTTTCGACGTCTAAATATTTAACACTCGGGCGACGAATTAATTTCTTCCGAATTAATTCGTCGAGTCGGTTCGTATATTGAAGGGTTCAGTAAAGATTAAGCTGTAATATTAATTATACATTAATATTGTTGATCGGAAGTGGTTTCCACCCAAGCATTCCGATTACTTGACCTTACTGAATATATTAGCTTTCTATTAATTCTGAACCCGCTATCAAAATAATACACTTGTTCGAAGGACACCATTTTTTTCAACCTCAATGTAATACAAGCGGGTGAACTGCTTATCCCTAGGCGAGGTATTTGCAATCCAATTATATATACATCCGTCTATCCCAATGGGAAGACTCTATACATGTTAATAATTTCAAGCCATAATCTAAGTAAGAGCTTTATGTGGATTCCGGATGTGTTCCTAGACACAGCCTCATTCCAAGTCCAACTGTGTTCTCTTTAGATTACTTACGTTAAATAGCTATGAGTTGAAAAATTATGTCGTTCAATATTTTTCATCTGTATATGTTTATAGAGCAATGTGACACCCAAATGGGATATGCTCTTTGCGACGAATTCGCCTATATGTGCGTCGCCAGATGCCATACTCATATGGGAGCAGACAAATTTATAAATATAAATGTCATCTAGCCATTAGCCTCTTTATTGTTTAGCTGCAAATATTCTTAACTTAGTTTCATTTTTAAAGTTGGACACATGCAATATGCACAGGCAGTATCCTCATTAAGGGTCGTTTGTGTCTACAGCAAATAAACACACTTTGAAGATAAAAAGTAAATTTCTCATTGATAGCTTAATATTTACAAAAAATTTACAAGTCTTAGAAGTAGTAATTTTTAAGGTTGTCTACATTCCAAGTTCTAGGCTGCCGCCTACCGTCTAGAGTTTCTAGGTGGTGGATTCCGCCTTTTACTTCCTCAAATCCGGTAGGGACCTTCCCAATTCGGCGTTAGTTTGCCTTGCTCATTGGCCCTACCGCTTCCCTCCATTTTCCATGACACAAAGTCCCCCTCTTTCAAAGGCCATTTGTGTACTCTTTTGTTGTAGGCACGGGTCATTCTCAGGCGGTAAATCTCATGATGCAAGGAAACATTGCCCCTGTGCTTTGGGAGTGAGTCCAAAGGTAGGCGCATGGGTTTTCAGTTTGCCTCTCCATCGTATAGCATGACTCGTAGGGTTGGCTCATAATGCTCGATGACCAAGACGACCTAAGTATACCATGAGAAATGGGGTTTCACTAGTTGCCCCTTTTTAAGTTATCCGGATGGCCCATAGGACATGAATTAATTCTTCTACCCATAAGCCACCAGCCCTTTCAATTTTCTTTTTGATGCTCTCTGAGACAAAGTTTGTTGAAGGCTTCAACTTGGCCATTTGTTTGGGGTCGGCACACTAATGCAAAAAAAAGGTGAGATCTCCTGATCTCCCTACCAATTTTTGAGCAGAGGCGTCTTAAACTGAGGGACATTGTTAAAAACAATTAGACATAGGAACCTCAAACCGGGTGATTATGTTTCTCCAAATGAAAGAGATGACATCCTTTGTTTTTATATTTTTAACCGCCTCTTCCTCCAACCACTTGGTGAAATAATCCACAACCACCAGAATGCCCATGTCCAATTTAGCAAACGAGACTAAGCTATGGATTGCCGTCAGGTCAATGGTCGGACGATGGATTAGCTTGCCAAAATTTTGGCACTTGTCGCATTTTTTTACCATCTCCATGGCGTCTGACTAAAGAGTGGGCCAAAAATAACCCTGCCACTAGGCCAGGGATCTGTCGCCTATGTGAGAGGCTCAGTATCCCGCATGCAATTCTTCGAGAACATCCTGCCCCCTTTTTGGGGTAACACACTTCAGTAGAGGCTTTAAAAAACCTGCTTTGAAAAGGACTTTGTTTCTCATCTCAAAGTTTACAACACGCTTTTTCATGATAGCCGCCACCTGTAGTGAATCACGTAGCGTGTCGTCTTGCAAGAATGCCCGGACGCCATCCATCCAAGTAGAGCTTCAGTCAAGTACTCTAATAAAGTCTTCTTCAACAATAATTTGTTTTTCCATAACTTCCCAAAATATTGACCGAGGCGTATCACAAGAGGCGGAGGATGCTAGCTTTGACAGCGCATTTGCCAGATTATTTTCAGACCTAGGCACTTGACTCAAATGGAATTCTTTAAGTGTCCCATCTTCAGTTTTGACCACTTAAAGGTCTTTGATCATAGCCGGATGGGTGGCCTCGTAGTCACCATGGTATTGGCTAACGATCAATTGTGAATCAGAGCAGACGTCAATTTTGGTTGCCCCTGCCTCCTTACATGCACATACGAATGTCAGCTAGCTGAGCTTCGTACTTTGCCTCATTGTTTAAGGACTAAAAGTTGAACCGTAGTTTTAGGCGTCGTTCGAAGTGCGCCTACGTTAAACATGTGTGAATATGCTTTGCACTCTTAGGAATTGGGAATTGACATATATGGTTAGGGACAACAATTAAGGACAACGATTAGGGACAAGGAAAGTAGGGAGTCGCCAACAAGTTTTTAAGGAACTTGTAAGCCGTTCACGGATCATTTAAGGCAACCACGAATAAAGGGACAACGAAAGGCAACAACAATTGACCCGTGAAGGTTACACCCCATCCATAATCCATGAGATTACTAGATCCATATGGTTTGGAACCACGAAAGGAGGATCGGGGATGATGGTAAGAAGTGAGTCATGGAGTCAAATTCGCACGTATTGGCCTCAACTTGATTCTTATAGTGAAATGTGATTCTTGCAATCTCAAAGGCATACAAACAAAATATCAATTTGCTCCAAACTATTATTTTGCTAAATTAGTTTAATATTAGTGCAACACATAATTCGAAAATATTAAGATTGATGAGTGACATTTATGTCACTCTTAGGGAGTAGTTTTAGAGTTATTTCCATGTTTATTTTCCCTTATTTTCCCTTTTATTATCTTGTTTTCTTTTTAATAAAGTTTCTAGTTTATTTCTTAGTTTTAGTATGTTTTAATTTATTTCTTTATTTAATTGGTTTCTAGTTTATTTTCGTATTTTATTTGCTTTCGATTTATTTTATTTCGTTCTTTCTATGTGTTACTTTCATAGTTTTAATAACCTTTATGTTTATTTTGTTATTTTATTTTACTTTATTTGCTTGTATAGTTGTATTTAATTTTGTTAGTTTTAGTTTATTTTCGTATTTATTTATTTTTGGTTTGTGTTTTGTTTCTCTTTATTTTCATTTTATTTTATTTTATATTTTTCCCGATTCTCACTTGCGTATATTTGGTTTTGTAGGATCGTGTACGAAGGTCCGAGGTTCGAGTCAAATGTGCAATGCCCCTCGCTCCACATAATTGCTACTCATCTTGCTGCACCTTGCCCTTCCTATCCTCCACCCCACCATATCCTATCCTACACCACACTTCTCCCCAGCTCCTGCAACCTGCAACATCCAACAGCCCCTGCTTCGCCATTCACTAATTAACCATTGCTGCTCCCTCTCCTTCACTCATGCATCAACCAACACCAACACCACCAATCAGAATTCAAAACTCCCCTGCTCCCTCGACCTTTCACACATGCCTTCACCAACAACAGTAACTCAATCTTCAGCTACCTAAACCAGCCCACATCAATCTCTGTCGTAAGCCAAACAACAGGAGCATCCCCTACTGCCCTTAATCATCTCTCACATCACCTTACCTCCTTCCACCACAATCAGCCACAAACACACATCACCACCGGCACCCACAAACCACAAACCAGCAGCAGCGCCACCTACAACCAATTCATAAACCACCAAAACTCACACCAATTAACCTCCTCCGTCCACCCTTCGCGCACAGCAACACCAGCCACAAAACCAGAGCAGCCCGCGCCAGCTCACCTTCTCACCCTCAATATCCAGCCACCGCGCAACCCACAACAACAACCCCTGCACCACCGTCCACCAGAACCCACATCAATCAACCAATTCCCCTGTTCCAATTCGAACAGTAGCACCTAGCAGCCGCACCACCATTCCCAATCACAAGCACCCAACATCAATTACAGCAGCAACAATTACGCCACAACAAATCACCAATTTGCACAAGCAACGGCCATAATTAGAGCAATCGCAAATTAATCAAGTTCGAACAAACCGTTGAGGGTTCGGTCGAAATGAAAAAAAAGTACCAAAATAGTCGGGAACTTTTGAGGTTTTGTAATTTGAACAGGTGTGGTCGAACTCACCCATGGTTCGACCGAACCAACCCCGTAGTTCGGCCACACCAACCCAAGGTTCGACCGAACCAATTCACGAGCTTCGCGCATGGTTTTTAATAAAGATCGAATGGCCTTGATTTGATGATCGATTATAGCCGTTGAGGATGAACGGTGGTGATTCTTTGATGAAGCTTGATGATGGATTTTGATGGGTGTGAAGTAGGGGATTATTCCACCATTTTTTAGCAGCCATCTTCGAATTAGAAGAGGAAAAGAGGGTCTGGTTGTTTGGTGGGATGGGTGGGTTTTTGTTATTTTCTTTTCCTTTTATTTTTAATTACTTTTTTTCCCTTTTTCTTTTACACTAGTAGAAAAATGCTTATTTGCGTCGCCTTATTTGCGTCACTCATATAAACAAACGACGCAAATGAGATATTTTGACTTCATTATAACTAATTTGCGTCAGACATTTGTTATAAAGCGAAGCAAAAGTCAGATATATTTCAACTTACTTGTATTTGCGTCGCTTCTATAAATAGGAGTGATGCAAATAACAATATTATATATAACTTTGTAAGTCAATTGCGTCATTTGTTTCTTTAGCGAGTGAAGCAAATGACCATTATGGTTTATATGTACTCTAGCTGCCTTCTGCCGTTCGAACATCAAAACTCCAAACCCCAGAAAATTCAACCCCAAAATTCCCTGAAATTCAACATCAAAACCCCAAAAAATTGATCAGTAAAACCCCAGAATTCCCCATTGTTGCTTTTGCTGTTGTTGAACCCCCAAAACATCAGCGAATAAACATTAATTGAAAATCCCAGCAAATGTGAGGCAAAATCGAAAATCCCATAACCTACAAATTCAACCATAATCGAAAATCCCAGCAAATGTGAGGCAAAATCCCTTATATACGAGCAAATCCGAGCCAAAAATCCCCTATTTTTGACCAAAATTCTACCCAAAACCAAACATAATTGTGAGAAAATTGAAGTTTCAGTTTCGAATTTAGGGTTCATTTTTTGGTTCTACGATTGCAATAGATGTTACACACAGATCTAAGCAAAGAGGTTTGATTTTCATTCAATTTAGTAGCAATTTGTTACGATTCTCTTAATGTTAGGGTTCGTACTCAATAATATGGAATTTTGGATCTATTGTTGCTGAAGTTACAAAATCGATTTTATGAAAGGTAAGACCTCTTCATCTCTTTTATTTTTGTTCAACACTTCAATCTACATAGATATTTTGAGTTCAATTGTAAAATAACTAAGTTTAATCTTCTATTATAATGCTATTTTTGCACGAAATTTAGAATTACAAGCAGGTTTCTAAATATAGCTTTTTGGGGTTCATATTCGAATTTAGGGCCAAATGCAATCCAATCAAAGAAATTATGGATTTATACTCGATTCTAAGGATTTTTTTGTTCTGTTTTGGTGAATTTTTGTAGTCGATTTCAACTAAGTTCAAATCTGTTTTGTGTTCTTATTGTTTTCTAGTGTTTTCAACTAGATTGAATTTAGGGTTCAATTTTGGATGAACTTAGTTTAATTTTACTATTTTTTTGTATTTTTTGCACAGATTTTAGAATTGCAGATGAATTTTTGGATTTATGGGTTTCATTAAATTTTGATTTTACTATTTTATTTATTTTTCTCCAATCTGACTATATTTTTTTTATGTTTTGCTGCTCATTTTACTGTTTTTTAATCTGACTGTATTTTTTTTTATGTTTTGCTACTCATTCAGGTTGATTTTCCCCCTGCTACTACTAAGAGAAGCTCTTTCCCATTTTTTTTAGCCTAAAAATGTTCCATGATATACTTAGCCGTGAATACATAAACTATGATATAGTGTTTGTATTGAAATAATTTTACCAGGCCGTTTTGTTAAAAATAAACGACCACTCTTAGCCCTGCCTTACACCCCTCAAGAATATGAGCATCCGAGTTTACTTTAACACACCCAAGGCACGGTTTCTTCCAGCTTGTAGCAGCATCATTCTGTCTCATAACAGAGGGGGGCAGCAAAACCTTTTTAGCATATTCATTGTAATCATGAACTAGCCTTGCAAACCCTGCAGCCAGTAGCACACTATTCGGATTCTCACCTTGAAATGCAACTGGTGGCAAGGTTTACTATTCTCAACAAACTCTCCAATATAGGGATCAAAGCTTATGTTTATTGAACCTTTCTTTTTAATGTAATCAAGTTTCATGATCATATTTTCATTCTATTTCCCTGTAATGTTTCCACAAATAAATTATATGCTGACGTTTTCTTATTGCTTGATGTATAAGCAAAGCATGGTATCATAAATCTTCTCATAAACCGATGCACTGACTCAGACAAGAATACTAAGAAATTTGCCTGTTTTGCTGTAAGATTTGTCACTTCAATATCCATGATCATGCATATTGCACTTGTACAGTTTTTATTTTGCTGGAAAATAAACTTCATTCTATTTTGATGTACAATTATTTTCTTTAGTTTCACTGAATTTTCTAATATTATCATTCTTGTATATTCTTGTTTCTCTTTCTCACATCTCATCTCGCAGATAGGAAATGCAGCCTTCCATAATGATTCATTATACGAAGAACTTAGGAGCTCAATCTCTCAACTGACAAATCTGCTGTTGCTACCTAAGGAGGATATCACAAAATTAAATGCTGCAGGTGCACTGGGTAATCTTGTTCGTCACTCTAACCTCCTCTGTGAAGATATTGTGTCTCATGGTGCAATTCAGGTTAGTTGCTACTTGTCATCACTTTTAGATATAGCCGTGCTTGTTTAGCAGGTCTTCTGTCTGACACCAAACTGATCTGATATAAGATTGTAGTCATTTATTCCCTTACTATCACGTATTCACGTCTAAAAAAAATTGTTGTTTGTACACTCTTTACTTTACCTTTAGTATTGGTTTTGTATTCTCGACATTTGAACATGAGTATGAATACATAATACTTGGCAATTAACATGGAAAATTCCAACTCTGATTGTTTAAATAATTGTAGAATATTATTTTGTTGCTTTGATGCTTCATTCTCAACTCTGATTGTTTATTGATTCACTGTATTGGATATCAGGAATTGGTGACTTTAAACTATTTGCAAGAGAAAAAGGAAGTGGACTTCCATTATGGACTTGTTCGTGTTAGGGAAAATGAAGATTTTGTCCCTAAATTGAATTATGCTGGCTTCAAATTCCATATTATTTATTGAATTATTTTGTTATAGTTCTTAGGCTTGAAATGAACGCATTTGGTTTACCAACATTTGGGTTGGTCTGGTGCTTGTGTTATATTTATTAATGATGAAGATGTCAATATTGTTTTGTTGTAAACTTATTTGACAGGTTGCTAATACAAGGCGCCGTCATTCCCAAATTAATGGGTAGGCTAAAATACAAAGGAAATTCTGTCGAAATTTGTATTTGATCTTATTATTTTTATTATGATTTTATTTTTTTGTCTTACAATATTGTATTATAATGAAGCGATACAGTTGGCAAATTATAATGTTACTTTAATGCGTGGATTAGAAAATTTGTCATTTGAATCACTCTTTTAAAAAGAAGCGACGCAAATAGCTCATTTTCTCTTCCTCAAACTAGTCATTTGTGTCACTCGTTTATTAAAGAAGTGACGCAAATATAAGAATATGTTATTAAAGAGTCATTTGCGTCACTCTTTTATTAAAGAAGTGACGCAAATATAAGAATATATGTTATTAAAAAGAGTCATTTGCATCACTCGTTTATTAAAGAAGTGACGCAAATAACAAATATAAGTTACAAAAAAAGTCATTTGCATCGCTCATTTAATAAACGAGTGACGCAAATAACTCTTATTTGCGCCGCTCCAATGAGCGACGCAAATGACTTTTGAGTCATTTGCGTCGCGAGCAGTTGCGTCGCTCATAGAAGTGACGCAAATACAGCCTAAATGAGAGACGCAAATGAAGGTTTTTGTACTAGTGTTACTTTCTTTCTTTATTTTTCTATTTCTCTTTTATTTTATTAGCTTTGTATAAATACCCAATTTTGGGGTAATTAGGATTTATTTTCAATTACCATTTTTCTATTCTCTAATTAGTTTTAGGAGAGCTTCTCTCTCTAGGTTTATGTTAGGATTAGGATAGTTTAGAGAGAGAAAGTAAGGGTTTCACCATTGTTGCGTTTGGATTTTGAAGAAGAAATTGATCATCTTTTCTATATACTTTCATCTTCAATCAATAAGAATCTCTAACTCTCTCTCCTCTATTTTATTTGCTTTCTTTTGATTATTATTTTAGTTGTTGGTATTGCTTGTTAAACATGTTTATTCTTGATTATTTGTTAATTAATCTTGTTATTAGCATGATTAGTGAGTAATTTCCCCATTAAGGGGATGGTTGTGGTGTAGTTGGATCTTGAGCATGTTCTAGGGTTTAGAATTGATTTATTTGTGATTAAAGTCTTTATTGCTTGATATTCTTTAATCTTCTTGCAAGTGCGCATTGTTGGGTGATTAAAGGTGAATCTTTGCTAACAAGGAACGGAAGTTGACTTAGTTAAGGTTCATTACTATCAATTGTTATTTAACAGTACCTCCTAGTATATGGTTCTAATGTGGAAACATAGAGGCTATGTTAGGAGAAGCCAATTGACCCCGGAAGGCGACTAGATTGGATCTTTTACTTCGATATTTGAGCATGTTTAGTTCATAATTAATTCAATTTCTATGCCTTTGTTTATGTTCAAGTGAATGCTATACCTTAACCATTTCCCTTAATGTTTTATTTCTTGTTTTAGAATCTTTAGACTTTAGTTTATTTATCTCCTATTCCGGACTAGCTTAATTGTCGATAACATTTGGTGGTGTTTATCCGTTCTCTGTGGTTCAACCCCTATGCTTGCCTTATACTTGTATTAGGTTTGTTTAGGTTGTATAAATTGTATTTGATCTAAGGATAAACAATTGACGACGCGTTTATTCCCTTGTCAATGATCACTTGATTAAACAACAAAATTAAAAGGAACCTAAATCGGTTGTCCAAATTATCTTATTAGTCGTGATTTTCAATTACATATTCCCTCTAAACATGCAATATGGTGATCAATAAATAATAATAGAATAAACATTAATATTGGAAGAAATTCAACAATAAATTGTTAGTCAAATAAAATAATAACAATAACCCTAATCATGATACTAGCAATAAGAACAAAAATAAGAGTAATTAAGTGATTAATTACTCACTTTCCATGTTTCCTTGAATTGCTACATCATGAATAAACTGTTAGTAACTTCAATAAAAATAAATCAAATGGAAATTAAATCAAATTAAATTAAAAAAAATTTGATTTGGTCCAAACCCTCAGTTAATTATACCTTTCACGCCTTGGTTTAAGTATAGAATTTTGAGTGTTGTATGGACTCCTTGGAGTGCTTAGGGGAAGTATTATGAAAGAATAGTGAGGCTAGTGTTTAGGCTAAAGAGGGAGAAGAGAATGATTTTGTGATCAAGCTTGTCGATGATTGAAAAAGAAGATATATGACCTCTATTTATAAGGAAAAATAAGGGTCGAAGAATTGAGAAAAGATAAGAATTCGAATTGGAATAATACTCTTGCGATAGACAGTAGTTTTTGCGGTTTTTGTTTTTATCATATCTTTTGATCTAGAAATTGGAATAAGATAAATAATATGTCGTTGGAAATAAGTTGAAGTATACTTTCTAACCTAATTGAATCAGATTAAAATATTTTGTATAATAAAAGATATGGCCGAAATGGTGAGACGGTGTCAGTTTTGGATAGAGTTTGATATTTCAATCATATCTTTTCCGTTATAGCTCGGAATTGATATTATAATGTATCATTGGAAATTTAATTTCAACCATTTAAGATTTGGATAAATACTATGAGGCACGAAAATAATATCTGTCTATCTTTGAACGTCTTTCAATTCGAATAGAATCAGAGATTTCATAAAGAGGAGTTTTATCCAATTTTAAACTCTTTAATCTTATCTTTTCAAAAGGAATAATTAAGATGTTTTAGAAACTTATAGAAGCTTTTAATTAATTCTAATTTTTTTTTTTGAATGGTATTAAATCCTTTGGACCCTCCACATGATGATTGGGTCGTAGGTAAGGTGGGCTTAGGTTCGGTTTGGGCTCAGTTTAATATTTTAGTCATAACTTATTCGTTATAAATCGGATTTGGGATTGTAATATATCGTTGCAAAGCTCTTTTCAAACCCCATCCAACCATTCAATCATTGGACCCATATTTTGGACTAAAATAAATTGGAATAAACGTTTTTATAAAAAGGACACAAAATGAATGATTTTAAAGGACACAAAATGAATTATTTTGGGTTTAAAGGCACGAAAGAGGAAAATGAGTTATGGTTTGGGAAAATGGAATAGGAATTGAGTTTTTTAATGAAATGGAAATATGGATTTAAGGACTCCAAGATTAAATACTCAACCCGGCCAATAATGGCAGTGAAAGGTTGTTCATCATCGGGTTTTGTTTTAGGGAGACATTTTTAGGTGTCTACAGAAGCCCCTACTTTGACTGAGTTTGTAGAAACGTCAGTTTTCAAAAACGATAGTCAAAGTATTCGATAGGGACGGAGAATGATTTAAGACGTTCTTCGATCCAAAATCACTCTATATATGCTGATACTTGTAGAAAAATATTAGTTTCATAGATAAAAGAGTAAAGGAATAGAATGCGTATCTGACACCAATATATCGGTGACAAATGAGTTTGGTAGCTTCCTATGCTTGAAGGAATCCACCGGATGACATTTTGTAAAGATACTTTCAATGCCTGAGGAAAGTTGACTAATGAGTTTGGTAGCTTTCTATGCTCGAAGAAATCTGTCGGATGATACTTTCCATGCTTGAGGAAAGTCGACATATGAATTTGGTGGCTTTCTATGCTTGAAGAAATCCACTGGATAATACTTTACATGCTTGAGAGGAAAGTCGACATATGAATTTGGCGGCTTTCTATGCTTGAAGAAATCCGCCGGATGACACTTTCCATGCTTGAGGAAAGACTTGTCTGATGATGAGATTGCAAGTCTCTTGCGTCATGAAATGATAGTGGTTCGATTTTCCCCAAACGTGGGCTATAGTTAGTTCACTTGTCCCCAAACGTGGGCTGTAAATGGTTCGCTTGTCCCCGAACGTGGGCTGTAAATGGTTCGTTTGTCCCCGAACGTGGGTTATAGATAGTCCGCTTGTCCCCAGACGTGGGTTGTAGATGGTCCTCTTGTCCCCGGATATGGGCCGTAGATGGTCCGCTTGTCCCTGGACGTGGGCTATAGATGGTCCGCTTGTCCCCGGACGTGGGCTGCAATTGAGACTTGCAAAATAAAATTTGCCAAGCAACTCGATATAAACTATGATTGAATTGACCAACTGACTTGACCAAGTTTAACTTGCCACGACATGACATGTATACAACTTGTGGTTGTGTGTGTGAAGACACAAGTAACAGAAAATACAAAAGCAAAAATTTTCCGTCATTTTTGTCATGAGACCAGTGGAAGGTTCCGACTTTCTTTCGAAAAAAGAAAGACGTGAAAAATGAAGTTTTGTTTTGGAACTTCCCTCGATAAAAAAGTTTGAAAAAGTTTTTGAACTTTCCCAAAAGAAAAGACATGAAAAGGGGAAGAAGTTTTGAACTTCCTCGTTGAGCAAGACAAAATCAATCCCATGGATTAAATTGCTTGTCTTGAAAATAATGTATGCATGATGCATGTTCTTGGTCCAGGAGGCTAAGGAAAATTACATCATGTGACACGATAGTTGAATGAACTTAGGTCATGGATCTAAGCGTCATATATGGTGTAAAGAAGCGATCTTAAATGTCACTTAGGTCTGGAAGCTAAGCACGTAAATAGATGAAGTGATTAATGAGTATTGCATAATGAATGTTGCTTAGGTGAAGGAGCTAAGCACGATATGCTTTGTAAGATTACAAATCATTGATGTATAAATGTTGCTAAGCACACTATGAGATGCGTGAAACAATGAACATTACTCAGGTTAGGAAGCTAAGCAAGTATACAGTACAATGTTTCTTTTAATAAATGTTATCTTGAAAGATGATGAAGCATGCGTGGTAGGGAAACAAGATTTCATGATGAAGGGTTCCAAAGGGAAAGATGATATGGCTATGTATGTGTGAAAGAAGTGTGTGAAAGTGATACTAAGGTGAGGATGTAAAGGATATGGTGAGGGAAATAGATGTGAGAAGAGTCGAAATGGTTACCCTTTAGGCTAGGTAGGCTAAATAATGTAGGTTTAAGCCTCCAAGTCTAGCTCTAGATGGATAGGGTCATAGGGATAAGAATTGGATATTCTTCGACTCGATCATGCGTGGATATGTATGTGAATGTGAATATGAATGTGGTCGCACCTCG